CATTGCGAACTTGGGGTCTGGAGCCCAGTTCCTTCTCAGTGTTCACAGTAAACTGGGATCTCACTGGTCATTTTACATTACAATTTCCTCAGAACCTGGGGGGGGTGCTGTATTTCCTGTTACAGGAAAAGTTCATCGTATTCTAAATTCCTCAAAACTCCGGAGCTCAGTAGATGGTGGCACCTTTCTTTAAGTGGGGGCTCCATTCCACGTTGCCTAAAAACCATTCAGTTTACCGTCTATTCTTATTTTAATTTCCATTCATATGGCTGAGTTCCCCCATCTCCAGCCCTTTCCCTCGCCAGCTGCCTCACTCTTATGCTAACTATTTAAACTGTCTTCCCTACTGTGTGGCCCAGGCTGGTGTTGGGCTCTTGGCTGATCCTCTTGCCTCAGTTTCCCAAGTGCTAGGATTACAGGTGTGTGTCAACATGCCCCACTACACTGACTACATTTAAGCAAACATGATACAGACACTCACAGGAAGACACCTCTTCAGCTCTGGACGCCACCTTCTCAAAATGCAGGCCTTAGCTGGGCGTGGTGGCGCACACCTGTAATCCCAGCACTTTGGAGACTGATGCAGGAGGATCGTTGCGAGTTCAAGACCAGCCTGGGCTACAAAGTGAGCTCAAGGCCAGCCTGAACTGCATAGTGAGACCCTGTCTCAAAAAGACAAAAAAAAAAAAAAAAAAAAAAAAAAAAAAAAAAAAAAAAAAAAGATGCAGGTCTTTCAGGGAGAGGAAGATGCTGTCATCACGTGTCATGAAATGGAAATTGAAATATATCAGTAGAGCTGAGATTTTGCTCATGCCCTATGCTTTCTAATTAACTTTTTGTTGTTGTTGCTATTTGGGTTATTGGGGTTTTTTTTGAGACAGGGCCTTGCTATGTAGCCCAGGCTGAAATCCCAGCAATCCTCCTGCCTCAGCCACCCAACTGCCAGGATCACAAACATGTGCCACCATGCCTGGTTTATTCCTTCTTTATGTATCAAAACTCTTACTGACCAGTGAATTCTGGGTTGCAAAAGAGGAATTTTTTTTTTGTCTTTTTGAGAGAGGGTTTTGCTATACAGTTCGGGCTGGCCCTTGAACTCACTTTGTAGCCCAGGCTGGCCTCGAACTCACACATTGATCTTCCTGCCTCAGCTCCCTGAGTGCTGGGATTATAGATGGGAGCCACTATCCGTGGCTTAAGAGGATTTGTTTTTTGTGTGTGTGCCGGGGATTGAACTCTGGACCTTGCGCTTGCCAGGCAGGCACTATACCACTGAGTTATATCCCCGGCCCAAGATTTTGTTTTCGCAGTTGCCCATAAGTCTTAGTCCACAAGTTAGACAAATACAAACACGGTGCTGCTGCATAGTGTGTTTTCAAGCCTTAATTCCGAAAGCATCCACTCTTTAATTCAACTAACCATGAACACTTGACGCAGATTGTGTTAGTGGCATTAATATAGCATTGTGGCGCCACATTTCTTTGAGAGACGCGTTCGTTACAAGGGCTTGAAGCCAGTGGTGTTCTACCACTGAGCTACATCCCCAGACTCTTTAAAATGTTTTGAGCCAGAACCTCACTAAATTGCCCAGGTTGGCCTCAAACCTTCACTCTTCCTGCCTCAGCCTCCCTGGTAGCTGGGACTCTAGGACAGAGGCACACAGTTTAATCTCAGTTCTCACACGACTCTCACACTCTGCAGGAAGTCTCTGGGCAAGAGGCTGTGGAGCAGCCTCAAACTCTCTATGTAGCTCAGGCTGGGCTTGGGATCCTCCTGCCTCATTCTCTTGAGTGCTGGGATTACAGGCATCTGTCATGGGGAGTGCATGCCACCAGGCTGGGGCAGTAGCAGTTTACAGTCCCTTGGGGGGGTTCCTGCTGCTGGGTCTAAGGTTCACCTCTTCAAAGTTACCAGTGCAGAGAGTTCACTAAATTGCCCAGGCAGGCTCAGCCTGGCGGTCTCCCTTCAGAGCTGGGACATCGTGACACTGCAAGTTTCTTGTCCTCTGGGAGCCCAGCACAACTTCCTTCTAGGACTGGCAACATCCCTGCCAAACTACTACACCTGCAGACAGGAACATTATTAATCTTTGGATAACAGGGCTGGTGCAACTCAAGTGGGCCGTAAGGAGTTAGCTTGGCTCACACTACCTTTCCAGTTACGGGGGCTCCCTGAGCTCCTTGGGAGAAAATATCCATTGCACCCTCGCCTCGGCGCGGTGGCCTCCATCCCTGCCCAAGTCCGGCAGAGGAAACTCAGCCAGCCTCACCTCGAGTTCCTGGAGTCACTGCCCTGTGACACATGTGACATTAGAGCCTGCCCTGGCTGTGCCTGGTCTCCTGGGAAATATATTAGAAATAGGCGATTTAGCTGGGCACCATGGTGCAGGCCTATCATCCCAGCACTGAGAGAGGCTGAGGCAAGAAAACTGCAGGTTCTAGTCCCACCCCAGCAACTTAGTGAGAACCTAGCTCAAAGATAAGCCATACATAGTGGCTTGCACAAACATGTTCAAGCCTAGCTTGGGCAATTTAGGAAGCACCTATCTCATTAAAAAAAAAAGGGGGGGGGGATGGGGATACAGCTCAGTGGCACAGCGCCTGTCTGGAAAGCACAAGGTCCTGAGTTTGATTCCCGGTACCAAAAAAAAAAAAAGAGAGAGGCGGGGGATGTAGCTCAAGGCCCTGGGTTTGATCCCCAGTGCTGAAAAAAATTTTTTGATTTAGCCAAGATCTTTTATCTGCCTGGAAATTTTTTTTTTTTTTGGGGGGGGTGTCTTTTTGAGGTAGAGTCTCGCTATGCAGTTCAGGCCAGCCTTGAGCTCACTTTGTAGCCCAGGCTGGTCTCGAACTCGCAACGATCCTCCTGCCTCAGCCTCACAAGTGCTGGGATTACAGGTGTGCGCCACCACACCTGGCTTGCCTGGAAATTTAGGTGCTCTTAATTTCAGCAGTGTGGAGAGTTGGCAGCAGATGACAATGGAAGGGCTGGGGATATAGCTCAGTGGCATAAGCGCTTGCTGGGCAAGCGCAAGGTCTTGAGTTTGATCCCCGGTACTGCAAAGAAAAAAAAAAAAGATGACAATGGAAGCTCAGAGACCCCAATAATTAGAAAAGCGCCACTGCGTGGACATAGTGGCACATGCCTATAATCCAGCACTCTGTGAGGCTGAGGCAGGAAGATAAGTTCAAGCCCAGCCTGGGCAACTTAACACCTTAGCCAGACCCTGTCTCAAAACAAAAAATAAAAAAGGGCTGGGGATGTAGCTCAATGCAAAGGCCTTGAGTTCAAGCCCCAATACCACAAAAACAAAAACCAAAAAAACCCAAAACATTGGCATCCAAGGATGTCCAGCAGAAGGAAAGGGGATAAAAAGCAGCAGAAAGCCCCCTGCCTGAGGCAAGCACACGAGGCCAGCAACTGTTTTGGCTTTTTGAGACAGGGCCTTGCTTTGTAGTTCAAGCTGGCCTCAAACTCATGTGATCCTCCTGCCTCAGCCTCCCCACTGTTGGGTCTTCTACTTTGGTGCTGGTGTTGGAGTCCTGGGCCTTGCAAGTGCTGGGTAGTACTCACCACTGAGCTACGGCGCCCCAGCCCAAGTCCCTTCAGCGAAGTAGAAGCCCACGGTGTGGGCCAGGTGCTGGGATCTGAACGGTGCTTGGTGGAGCCGACCCTTCATGTTGTGCCCCCTAACCCTAGCCCTTGGATGGAGTGACAGCAAGGCCTTAGCTAAGCTGGGGTGCAGATGATTTTGCCCTTAGAAGGGGTAACGCTGTGGTACTGAAGCATCACAATTCAGTCCATGCTGGGTCCCTAACAGCACAGCACAGACGTATTCTTAGTCTATAAAATCCTACCGTACCCTTTCCTCTCCCAGCAGCCACGGACAATTAGGCTGCTCTCCAAAGTGACAAGGCTACCTCACAAAACTGCTTTCTGAGAACAGAGGACTTCAGTTCCGTCCGTTGTGTAGGGGACTAGTCAGCCTCTCCATGTATCCCTGGGAGGAACAGCAGTGAGTATGAGGAAAAGACAGACAAGAGACAGGAGCTGGGTCAGGTGGAGGCGACCTCTTACCTGGTGAGCAAGAGGACCTAACAGCAACAGTAGGGGTATTTATTTATACTCTTGCAAAATTAGTATCACTAGAAGCGAGGTTTCCTAGCAAGTAATGACTCAACTGTCCAGGTAGGATGCTTTTCTCAAGACTGAAATAGCTTGACTGCTTGAGGCGCTCTGCCTTTGTCCTGCCCTCACACATGACCAATTTCCAGCTCCAGCAGCTCCCAACAGTCTTGCTAGGTAGTTCAGAATGGGCTTAAACTTGCAGTGATCCACCTGGCTCAGCCTCACCAGTGGACAGGTAGCTCCGAGCCCAAACTCAGAAAGCAGAAACTGTGGCACTGCAAGCGGAAATCGGACAGTGGGCTGGTGTCTGAGTATGTGAGCTCATCGCGGCACAGGAGTGAGGCTGCCACCTGCTGTGGCCTATCACATAGGCCAGCCCAGGATTTAGCTCAGAGGCAAAGCGCCTGCCTGGCAAGCGCAAGGTCATGAGTTCGATTCCTGGTACCGGAAGAAAAACAAAACAAAACAAAAAAACAAAATGAAACACATAGGCCAGCCCAGCTCTCCCGTAGCTGGAGCAGCACATGTGCTTTTTTATGGGCCCGAGTTAGAAATAGGTACATCTTTTCTTTTCTTTTTTTTTTTTTTGTACCAGGAATCTGCTTGCCAGGCAGGTGCTGTGCTGCTGAGCTATCTCCCTGGCCTGGTACATCTTTCTTAGGAAGAAATGTCTTGGTCTCATTCCCCTTTATGAAACAAAGGCTACTGAAAAACAGGAAGGGTTTGGGGGAGCCAATGCTTAGGGAGTTTGTAACATGAGACCACCATGCTCCTGAAGGACAATCTGAATGGCATGAACTCGCGCCTGCTGGGGTAGCAGGGGACAAGGGCTAATCCATAAGGTCCCAGGTCAAACTCAGGGGACACAGAGCTAGAAAGATGGTGGTTTAATAAGACAAAACCGTAACATTGATATATAGTGACCACAAAAACAAGAACGGTTTAGAGTATAACAGGGTTCTGAAGGTCATTGATATAAAAGACAGAAGGCCCCGCTTGCTACAAAATCCATCATGTCACATTTGTGGTCTAGTTTGAAAAGAATGAGTGAAGCAACAAAAGAATGAATGAAAGACACAGGAGCCTAGGGGCAAACAGTTTTTACAAATATGTGTACAGAACAACCGTTTCCTTTTTCCTGTGACTCGCAGCCAGGGCCTCGAGCACACCAGGCAAGTGCTCTAATTCGGGGTGACACTCAGGTGTGCGTGCAATCTACCCATTGTCAAACTGTGCTCACTGTAGCATTCTCATCAACTTTGTTTATTTACACTTTTTTTTTTTTTTTTGGTTTTTTTGAGACAGAGTCCATGTAGTTCAGGCTGGCCTCAAACTCATGGTGATCCTCCTGCCTCAGCCTCCCAAGTGCTAGGATTACAGATGGGCACCACCATGCCTGCCTGGTGCCTCCCATCAGTTTCAGTATCTTACCTTTTGGCTTTTAGATGGGACTTTAGGGGGGGGGGAAAAAAAAAAAACTAGCAAGAAAACAGTTCTGAAAGTGCCTCCTCTTAACTTCTTTGGTATAATTTGGTCATTTTGATGGTAATCTATTCAGTAAGAACTTTAACATCCACATATCAACAATGCAAGTGAGGAACACAAATGTTTACAGAATTGTAAGTGAAGAAATGGTATGTTTGATCTTGTGGAAAACAGAACTCTAAAAATTTTACCTGTGTTTCTGTGGCAAAAATATCTATACTGCTTAAAAGAACAACACTAACGCGATTTATATCTAGAAAATGTTACATCAAACACCCCTTTCATGACTATTAGAATAACTGTTCTATGTACTTTTTTTAAGTAGAAGAGGCAAGTTTCAGCTTGAAAAAAAGAATGTTTGTGCCTTCTGATTGAGTGTCAACACCAAGACCCCCGTAAGTGTGCTGAATGGCAAGGGCTATCATTTATTGCAGGAGACAGCTAGTTTATTTCCTGGAGCATTTCTTCTATTTCCTTATCCCAGTTCTCGTCCCGCTTCTCTGACTCTGTGACCACCTCGTACTCCTGAAGCTCCTGCTGCAGCTCTTTCTCCCAGTCGGCAGAATCCCCTACAAGAAACAAAGGAGAAGGGCAAGGAAGATGTGCTCTGAACTCATGACGCGCTGCTAACAATTCAACCTCGGTTTGTTTTAGAGCCAGGGTCTCGCTGTGTAGTTCAGATGGGCCTTGAGCTTACTATGTACCCATAGCTGGCTTTGAACTCACAGCGATCCTCCTGCCTCAGCCTCCCAAGTGCTGGGATACAGGTGTGTGCCACCACAGCCAGCTTAGCTTTATCTTTTAAATAGCCAGTCTGGCGGAGTGTGGTGGTGCATACCTGTAATCCTAGAACTGGGCTATATAGTGAGTTTAAGGCCAGTCAGAATTATAGCGAGATCTTGACTCAAAAAACAAAAACAAAGAAACAGAAAGTGAATGTAGGCTGGGGATATAGATTAGTGCTCAGCATGCACCAGGCCCTGGGCCTGTCCCCAGCATGGCGCATGCATGTGCACTGTGTGCATATACAAGCCTTACGCTTAGTAGCTACTGAAAAAGCAAAACCAAAACACTTTATTTTTGCTGCAGCAGTGGGCTTAAGAATAGGCACCGTGGGGCTGGGGATGTAGCTCAGCAGCACAGTGCCTTTTTTGGCAAGCCCCAAGTCCTGAGTTCGATTCCCGGTACCAAGAAAAAAAAAAAAAAAGAACAGGTACTGTGTCAGAAACCACCAGTCTAACAAATGCTTAGTACTGGTTAAGTGCTTTCCTGAGTGCTAAACTCCTAAGGTACTGTAGGGGGAGACACAGAGAAGGTATAACTGCCCTTGGGGAGTCCAGTGTGGTTGGGGGCCAAAGTACACAATATATAAAAGAATATGAAGCTGGCACAGTGGTGCACATTTGTAAGCCAAGCATTCTGGGAGGCTGAGGCAGGAGGATTCCAAGTTCAGGTTCAACCTGAGTAACTAAGCAATGCAGTGAGACAAAGTCTCAAAAAGGTGCGGGGCACAGCAGCTCGGCGTGAAGCTCAATCCCCAGTACTCAAAAAAAGAAACAAAAATAGGAAGTGGTCTGAATTACAACTCAGATAAAGAAGCATTACCTCGAGCAGCCAGCCAATGCCTTAGAACCCTGGCCTGGCATGCCCTGTCTCCCCAGCGGCTGAGACCAGTGTGTCACCAGTAAACACAGCAGCAGTATGAAGGTCGCCTTGCCAGTGCCGCCTCCCCAGGGGCTCTATCCTCATTCTGCTTAGCTCAGTTCTGTACCCCCAGAGGCAACATGCGGGGCAGGCCGCATGACCGTGGGCACAGCCAGCTCCCTGGACCTGCGGCGCATCTAAGGAGGCCACAGGGAACGCCTTATCTGAGGGTGACTCATGCAACCCCTGCTTTCCACCCAGGAGAAAGCCATTAACGTGGCCGGCCAGCCGAGGAAAACAGGCCCCTCCGGCCAGAAGCCCACTTTCCCACGCAGCGGTGGGGACAGAAGCTTCTGTGTGCATCTACGCCACATGGGGCACCGTGTGCACACCCTGCTCCCATTCCTGCCCCAGCACCTGGGGCAGTCGCTTCGCCTCTCTGCACTCCACTCCCAAGCCCTCCGATCTGGTCCTGGGAGCACTTCTGGCGGGAGGTCTGCAGAACCCCATTCTAGGGGGAATGGAGAGTTCTGTGGGGGGTTTTGCAGTGTTAGGGCTGGAACGAGGGACTTCGTGTATGCTAGTGCTCTACCAGTCACCCCGTCCCTAGTTCCTACAGATTGCAATGAGCTTTATTTGCAATCCTGTACCCAGGACAGCAGGTCTTAATGAAAAATGATGGAGACTGCCCCCCAGAAATCAACTCCCCCCAGCACTACAGATTGAGTCTAGGGCCCCCAGCCCTTTTATGTTTTATTTTGAAACAGGGTCTCACTAAGTTGCTAAATTGCCCAGGCTGGCCTCAGACTTTTGATCCTCCTGCCTCAGTCTCCTAGAACACTGGGACTGCAGGCAGGTGCCGCCAAGCCCAGCTCCCAGAGTCAATACTGATACAAAATTTAGAGTATTTTTGTAAATAGGCTCTCTAATAACATTGTATGCAATCAGCTCTGAAACTAGGGGGAAACCCCCAGAGGTTCTGTTCTGTTACCTTCTAGGGTAGCTGTCTCCTCTTCCTTTTTGTCGAGCACAAGTTGTTCCATTTCTTTCCTTAAGTCCTCCTGATTGAAGTTACAGGCGTCAAAGGCATCGCTGACGAACTCAGAAACGCCTGGGCTTGTGGAAATTTCTTCCTCGTCCTAAAAGACAGCACGAGTTCCTAAGATGGTTCCGAAGTGACACTTCTCTGCTCAAAGGCTGTCTCACAATCTCGTAAGACTTCACTTTTTTCTCCGCCCTCCTAGCTGTGAGTCACCAAGCGCTCTACCTACCCTGCACCATTGCCTGGTAACCGAGTGATTACCACCGGGCTGTGTCTCTTCCCTCACACACAGCTTGGACCACTCCAACCACTCTCTTCCACACCCGAGGAGCACATCTGGGATTATTCATGCCGGAAACAGCCTCAGGTCGCAGCTGCAGGTCTCTGGCTACTCAACTGCTGATCTCCAGAAGGCTCATAGTCTTGAATGGTTTTCAATGGTGGCAGAGATTTCTTTTTGAGTACAGGGACGCAAACTGAGGACCTCACGCTTGCCAGGCAGGCACTGAGCCACTGAGCTAAATCCCGGCCTGGTGGCAGAGATTTTTTTTTTGTCTTTTTGAGACTGAGGTTCTCTATGTAGTTCAGGCTGGCCTTGAACTCACTTTGTAGCCCAGGCTGGCCTCAAACTCGCTGCAATCCTCCTGCCTCAGCCTCCCGAGCACTGGGATTACAGACGTGCGCCACCACACCCGGCAGGGCAGAGATTGTTAACCCATTGTCCCGGTTTGGATCTGGCCTACTCCTAAACTACCCTTGTGTTTGGAGTTGAGACTTTTGGAAGGTCGCTGGCTCATGGGGGCGCTATACTCATCAGTGGATTCTTCCGGGGATGAGTTGCCGGCTAAATGGCTAGGAGGAGGGGCCTGGCCGGAAGGGGCGGAGCCCAGGAGGCCTCCCTCTCTGCTTCCTGCCACACCCTTAACCAGGCTTCTGCCTAGGCGGACTGTGGATTGAAACCTCTAAAAAAGTGAGTCAAAATAAACCTCTCCTCCTTTAAGTTGTGGATGTTGGGGATTGTGTCCCAGCAACAAGAAAGTGCTCTGACTTAGACACCCAATTATTCACCTCCACACAAACAACTAGGTACAATGGAAAACTGTATTACCTCTTGAGATTTAAGCTGAGATTTGATTACGACAGGTGGCGTTTTGGGCCGTACTGCCTCTAAGAAGTGAGAATAAGAGAGACAATAATTGCTTGCTTCAGTTCCAAATACATATTACAGTAACAGCTAATGCATTTCTACAAGTATGATGATACCAAATACCTTTTAGAAATGAGCTTTTATGCTGTGCTTTCAGGTTTTCTCAAGTTAGTACAAGAGCTAGCCATGAGTACCCTCTGAACCTCTCAGTTTTGGGGATTTTTCAAGATGTTACCATCTCCAATGCCCTTATATAAAATTTTTAGCAGGAAATAATTTTGGTCCTCAGTGTCAGCTAAATGCATTCTGCTCTTTTCTTTGGGATGATAAGAATGACGTTTCCTTGTCAGGAAAGCCGGAGGGCGCACAGAAACAGGGAGTGTGCAATCCCAATCCCCTCTTTGCTTGGAGGCCTTCTCCGCTTTGTTTTTTTTTTTCTGGTATTGAGAGTGGAACCCAGGGCCTTTATTACACTGAGATACACCCCCAGCTTATTATTTGTTTATTTTTATTTCGAGACAAGGTCTTGCTACACTGTCTGGGCTGGTTTTGAACATACAACCCTCCTGCCTCAGCCATCCAGAGTGCTGGGATTATAGGTGTGTACCACCATGCCGGCTTCATTTTCAGTTTTATTTACCTTACTAGGTAGCCTTTGTGAAGACCACCTTATATCCATGTTGTTTTGTTTAACAGACCACATTTCACGTTATTTAGCATTCCCGAGAACAAGCAGTTGCTGATATGCTAAAACCCTTTCCCTACTTCTAGGGCCAATGTGTCACAGTAAGAAACACCCGTTTAACAGCGCACCCACGGGGGGGGGGGGGGGGGCGTAGTGGCGCATGCCTGTAATCCCAACACTGGGAGGCTGAGGCAGGAGAATCATTACAAGTTTGAGACCAGCCTGGGCTACAAAGTGACCAGCCTGAACTGCACAGCAAGACCCTGTCTCAAAAACACACACACAAAAAATTGGGTTTTGTTTTCTTTTGGGGGGGGGTACCAGGAATTGAACTCAGGACCTTTATGCTTGCCAGGCAGGCGCTTGTGCCACTGAGCTACATCCCCAGCCACCCTAAAAATTGTTAAGTACAGGTACCTACTCCCTATAAGGATATAAACTGTGTGCTGTAAACATGTCCCAATAAAAACGAAAGAGAAAGATACAGGGAAGAGGCCTAGGCCTGGTACTCGAGAGAAAAAGAAAAAGAAAAAAAAAAAAAAAAACCCAAAAGAAAACTAGAACAAGCCTCGGGGAGACCGCAAAGGGAAGGAAAGCGCGGGTAAGGGGCATGAGCACTGGAGCAGCGGAGGCCGCAGGGAGGCCAAGCACACTGCGCTGAGCTCGAGCTCACTAGCGCCCCTGCGGGGCAGGCGCCGAGGCGGGGAAGGTACCTGTCAGCGGCGAGTCGGAGCCCGCGCCACCACTCTTCTCCTCCTTGCCGGAAGCCTGCTGCTGCGCGGCCAGGGCCGTGAGCTGGGCGGACTGCTTGATGAGGGACACGCGGTAGAAGTAGTTCCTCCAGAACACCTCCTCCTTCACGCTGGGGAAGACAAACAAGGACGCGCCGTGTGAGAAGGCACACTGTCGTGCCGGGGATGGGACCCAGGCCTTGCCAGGCTAGCAGGGCGCTCCTGCACAGCTACACCTCCGGCCCTGGGAATAGATGGTTTTTAGGAGCCCTTCCTTTTCATTTTGTCCAACTGCTGGCGACTGATCCTCCCGGGCGCTGGGATTACAGGTGTGCATCCCGCGCCCACTTCAGGAGTCCCGAACCCTCCAGCCCCAGTCCCAGTGCGGTTCAGGGTCTCATTCGCTTTACAAGTGAAAGCAGAGTTACAGGCTAAACAGAACAGCCGGGTTTTTTCCCACAGCAGCAACAGACAAGTCAGAGCGCCAGCAATACCCCACAACGTCATGGTACTTTAGGCTTTTTTCTTTTTTTCATTTTCGGTACTGGGAATCAAACTCAGGGCTTCGCGTTTGCCAGGCAGGTGCTGTGCTGCTGAGCCACATCCCCGCCGCAAGTTACAGTACTTCAGTGACACCAGCACCGCCCTTGGCAGGAGAAAACACTGCTGTGCGGCAGGGCCACCAAAGGGGGACCGGGAGCAGGCCGGGGCCCAGGCCTCGGTGTTGCTAGGGAGGCCCCATGCACCTAGCGCGCCGGGAGGAGCGTGGAGGGAGTGCCCTCAGAAAGAGCGCGCAGGGCGCTGGTCTGCAGCAGTGCGGGGCTGCCGGGAGCGGGTGGTTGGACATTGTGGTTTTTGCAGTGCTCGGATGGAACCCAGGGTCTCAGGCTCTAGGCAAGCACCTAGCTACACCCTCAGCCCTGCAGGAGATGCTGCCTGGGTTCAAAGCCCTGTACTGCAACCCTCCCCTCAAAGGTGAAGTGCCCTTGTCCTTCTCGGGGGACAGCCAGCTGCCTAAGCACCCTCAGGGCCACGCTGCACCCTGAGCTCTGGGGACCTGTCCTGAGACATCCAGCAGGAGCCTTCGAGTACTGTGTGGCCACGGTGACTCGGGGCACTGTCTGCTCTCTCCATTTAGACACAACCGTTCAAGCTGCTTTCCTTTCTGGATGCGCTTTCTCCATGTGAGAGGAAGTGGCCGCAGAGGCACACGGAGAGCTTGCTCATTCTCTCCTCCGGGCAAGCGTCACAATGCCCATGACATTTTGGGCTGAGGAGCCCTGGGGGAGAGATGCTTGAGCTCTCCAAGTTAATCTGATAAATTCGGCTCAGGGGCCCCTCTGAAGGCATCGGTACCCGGAGTGCCCCTGGGGGCCCTGGGCGATCAGCACAGTGGGAAGGAACAGGACGTGCAATTCCCTGCTGTCCTTGGCCCTTGGCCTCAGGGGTGGCGCCATGCCAGCAGGGCTGTGCGCTGTGCCCAGGGAAATTCAGAGGAAGTGATTTGGTGTCTACAGTTCCCAGAAAATGCTGCTTTCTATGCAGATAGAATGGCTCAAATGATCAAAGGTGCACATTTGCATGCGAGGGAGGAAACTCCAGAAGTCCAGAGCCCTATATTTCTGTGTGATCAACATTTTTTTTGTCTTTTTGAGACAGGGTCTCACTATGCAGTTCAGGCTGGCCTTGAGCTCACTTTGTAGCCCAGGCTGGCCTCGAACTCACAAAGATCCTCCTACCTCAGCCTCCCTGAGTGCTGGGATTACAGGCGTGTGCTACCATGCCCAGCCTGGTTTTGTTTTTTTGAGACAGGGCCTCCCTATGTAGCCAAGGCTGGCCTTGAGCTTACTATGTTTCCCAGGCTGGCCTCAAACTTGTGGTGATCCTCCTGCCTCAGCCTCCCAAGTGTTGGGATTACAGGTGCATACCACCATACCTGGCTCTTGTTTTGGGGGCTTTTGACTTAGGATTTCACTAAGTCAATAAAGTGTCCAGGGGCTGGGGATTTAGTCAGTGGTATAGCACCTGCCTGGCAAGCACAAGGTCGTGAGTTTGATTCCTGGTACAGGAAAAAGACAAAAAAACAAACAAAAAATAAATAAATTGTCCAGACTGGGCTTAACCTTTAGATCTTCCTGCCTCAGCCTCCCAAGTGCTGGAAAGATAGGTGTGTGCCAGCACGCCTGGCTTAGTAAGCATTTCTGACAGTGTGATAACCATAATTTCTAAATCTTTCCTAAGAAAATTAGTAGTCAGAAACTGGAACTGTAGCCGGGCGTGATGGCACACACCTATAAACCCAGCACTGGGGAGGCTGAGGCAGGAGAATTGTTGTGAGTTTGAGACCCACCTGGGCTACAGAGTGAGCTCAAGGCCAGCCTGAACTGTATACGAGACCATCTCAAAAAAAAAAAAAAAAGAGACTGGAACTGTGTTAAAAGTACTCAGCCTGTGACAAACCAGAAACACTAATCACCAAATACCAATTATCCAAAGCATTCAGAAATCTAAAATTGCCCTTAGCAGAGAGAAGGACAAGAACAATAAGAAAGTGAAATTATGGCTGCCACATTCTTGGCAGGAGCACCCTGGGCCACAGGCCGCAGCAACCCAGGTCTCCTCACGGCCCTGACAGTCACAGTATGGAGCCCAGCGGGTGGCCTGGTGACACGAGTGCCCTTGGAGTTAGTTGATGGAGCCGCAGGGAAGAAGCCACCAGGCCGGAGACTCAGCACTCTTCTATGGAGTCTGCCCACAGAATGGGCACCAACTCCAAGGGCTGCGACAGAGCGGCAGACAGACACACACACCTGCACACAACTGTCGGAGGTCAGCGCCTAGGGCTGTGCGAGCAAATGCAATAAAACAATAGATGGTGCATTTTTTTTTCCCTTTTGTAGCACTGAGAACAAAACCAGGGCCTTCTCACTGAGTTACATCCTCAGCTCTTTTTATTTTTACACAGGGTCTCAATTGCCTAGTCTGAACTCAATTTGTATTCCTCCCGCCTCGGCCTCCAAAGGCAAGCACCTATTCTCCTAAAAAGATAAAGGTTTCCACATGCTTTAACTTGGGGAGACACTGCGTAGATCTGCGGTTCTACTGGATTAAAGGAGCACAGCTCCTCCCGGCTTCAGTGCTCTGCCCCGTCAGCCCTGGCCCCTTCAGTGTACCTTCTCTGGTGTAGGGCACACAGCCAAGGCCCTGGAAGGGGGACGCCACCGCTGCATATGTGCGCACTTACTGCTTGGGAACCAGGGCGAAGCGCATCTTGCTCAATAGCTCATCCTCTCGCAGCATGACCAAGGCAACAGGGTACATCTGATCAAAGTCGAAGTGAAACTGCACGCCGGCCGGAGGGTCACGAAGGAAATTCCTCTTATCCTTTGATGTACAGGGAGACAGACAGGAAGAACACAAAAGGCAATGAAGTCACGATGTAGTTGGGCTGGGACAAGCCCTGAATGCTATGGCAGAGGCAGCTTTCAGCTGAGAAGCGTATAGAGCTGCCAGTGACCCGGCCGCCAAGTGGGTTTCCTTTCTAACACTCACCAGACGCGGCCCAACTGGTCCACTGGCTCAGAGGATAGTGTGCAACCATGCAAGTTTGCTCTGTATTAGCAGATGCCTTCCGATACAGTAACCCTGCTGGTCTTAGGTCAGCTGATGAAACGTGCAGGAGTGCCGAGCCCAAATTCTCTTTCCAGTACTGAGGGCTGAATACAGAGCCTTTGCACTAAGCTACATTCCCCACCCCCCGTTCCTTTTTGTACTTTTTGTTTTTGAGACAGGGTCATTTAAACACAGCGGAATAACATTAAGTGAATTCTTGCTGCTGAGTGCAGGCTTAGGATACCTGCAACCACGTCTCACAGAATCCCTAATCTATTATATAGCTAACACGCCGACAGAAGGGGTCGGTGTATTAAAACTTCAACTCTCATCTGCAGGCCCAGCACTTGGAGACTGAGGCAGGAGAGATTCCTTAAGCCTAGAAGTCTGAGAGCAGCCTGGGCAATATAGTGAAACTGTCTTAATTAATAAATACATACATACATACATACATAAATACAAAAAGTGTTGGATGTGGTGGTACACGCTTGTAATCCCAGCACTCAGGAGGCCAAGGTACGAGAATCGCCATGACTGTGAGGTTAGTTTGGGCTATCTAGTGAGTTCAAGGACAGCGTGAATGATGTAGTGAGACTGTCTGAAAACACACACACACAGAAAAAAAAAAATCTGCACGTAATATCACTTAATGAGAAAATTCCTAGAAATGAAATTTCTGTTGCAAGACTACAATCACTTCAATGCAAAATGGCCAAACTGCCGGGCGTGGTGGCGCACACCTGTAATCCCAGCACTTGTGAGGCTGAGGCAGGAGGATCCTTGTGAGCTCGAGACCAGCCTGGGCTACAAAGTGAGCTCAAGGCCAACCTGAACTGCACAGGGAGACCCTGTCTCAAAAAAAAAAAAAAAAAGGCAAAATAGCCAAATTGTCCTCTGGAGTGGGGTCAAGACACTCACTCAAGGAAGACACCTAGGTTTTTACCAAACCAGAAAAACCAGCAGGGGTGCGGGTTGCACTCAGCGCTAGAGCACAAACTTAGTATGCAGAAGCCCCTGGGTTCGTGCCCAGTGCCAAGAGGGGGAGGAAGGAAGGAAAAAACTGTGGGTCCTAAAGCCAACAGCTGGAAGACCATTGCTGCCAGCGCAAAGGCACAGCCACTGAACATGTGCATTGGGCACGCTGCTGCTGCCAGTTCGCAGCCAGGTGGGGTCACAGGTAAGCAGGGAGCACATCTCGGGGCCGCGGTGCCCTCACTTGGCTGTGCGTGTTGGGACACAGGAGGTGTAGGCGTGCTTTCTCACAGTGCCGGCGTCACCGCAATCCCTGAGGTCTCGCAGGCTCACACAGGAGATTCTGCATCCATTCCAGGTGCCAACGAATGCAGAGTTCTTCGCTGCTGTTTCCCCGGGGCACTGGGGGCTGAGCCCAGGGCCTTTGTGCTGAGCTACTTCCCAGTCCTTATCAGGTTTCTAAATCTTTTCTTTTGTTGTGTTTGGCTTTTTTTGGAGGGGAGGGTGCAGCCTGAGTCTCACCATGTAGTTCAGGCTAGCTTTGAACTCGCTATGTAGCCCAGGCTGGCCTTGAACTCTCAGTGACCCTCCTACCTCAGCCTCCCAAGTACTGGGATTACAGGCATATCCACCACACCTGGCTTTTTTTTTTTTTTTTTTTTTTGAGACAGGGTCTTGCCACGTAGTTCAGCTGCCCTTGACCTCATCATGCGGCCCAGGCAGGCTTCAAACTCTTGGTGATCCTCCTACCTCAGTCTCCCTCCCGAGTGCTGGGATTAGAGGTGGGTGCCATCACTCTGGGGAAGGTCTGGAAATCTTGAGACAGGGTCTCACTATGCCACTAAATTAGTTGCCCACTCAAATTTGTGATCCTCCCACCTCAGTCTCCTAGCGTGCTAGAATCACAGGTGTGGGATACCGGAACAGCTACAAACACAAGTAAATAAAAATACAGAATTGTAATCATTTCACACACAGAATTAGAACTCTGCCTAAAAACCTCAAATACAGTATATCTCCAAAGATTATCTCAACAACATAAAAAGACTCTTTTTCAGAATTACAGAATTGAGCCAGGCATGGTGGCACAGGCCTGTAATCCCAGCACTGGGTCGGCTGAGGCAGGAGGATCATTGTGAGTTTGAGGCCAGCCTAGGCTACAAAGTGAGCTCGAGGCCAGCCTGAACTGAATAGTGAGACTCTGTCTCAAAAGGACAAAAAAAAAAAAATAGGTAGAGAAGCACACAGCTGCGTGAAGGTAAGGTCGTAGCTCAGAGAAAGACACACTGTGGACAGGAGAAAATGTGCCCTACCCAGGGCTCTGCCAGTACTCACAGCTGCTAAGGCCAGGATTTGTTGCTGAATGGTTTCCTCATCGTTAGTGTCCACCCATGGGGGCACAGCTGCTTCTAGAGTTTTCAGTGGGAAAAAAGAAAGGAGAAAAGGCTGTTACAATCACTGCATTGCAATCTCTGCTTTCAGAAAAGGAGTTTCTGGGGGCTGGGGATTTAGCTCAGCAGCACAGCGCCTGCCTGGCAAGCATGAGGACGTGAGTTCGATTCCCGGTACCGGGAAAAAAAAAAAAAGAAAACGAGTTTCTACACCACCTGTAAAGACTGTGATTTACCAGTAAGTTCCACACGCGAACCTCCAACAACCCTGCTCCAGTGATGCAGCAGAGAAGCTACCTTAGGCAGGTGAGCAACAGCACCAGCATCAACAAAGGGGAGGAGTGCATTACTGGTCTCCAGACGCGACAACATCATCTAGGTGGCTTTCTGGCCAAGAATACATAATCTGAATCTGGTCACAAGGACATAGGAGACAAAGTCCAAATACGGAGGAGTCTATTAAAAACGGGGGAGTAGGCCAGGCATGGTGGTGCACACCTATAACCCCAGCACTGGGGAGGCTGAGGCAGGAGGATTACTGCAAGTTCAAAGCCAGCCTAGGCTACAGAGTGAGTCCAAGGCCAACATGAACTACATAGCTAGACCCTGCCTCAAAACAAAAAAATAAAATAAAATAAAATATAAAAAGGGGAATGAGCCGGGTGTGGCGGCACACACCTATAACCCTAGCGCTTGGAAGGCTGAGGTAGGAGGACTGCTGGGAGTCTGAGGTCAGCCTGGGCAACACAGTTTAAGGCTACCCTGAGCTACACAGCAAGACCTTGTTTCAAAAAGAAAAAGGGTGGCGGGTGTGTGCTGGACCAGGTGGTACACACTTGTGACCCCAGCAATCTGGGAGGCTGAGGCAGGAGGATCAAGCTTGAACCCAGTCTGGGTAACTTAAACAAACAAACAAACACATAACAAAAGGGCTAGAGATGTAGCTCAGGGCAAAAACCGTGGGTCCAATGCCCAGCACTACAAAAAAAAGAGCCTGTGGCAGGAGAGTCCAGGGGCTGGAGGCCGGCCCAAGCAACAAAGCAAGCTAGGCTACAAAGTGAGCTCAAGGCCAGCTTGAACTGCATAGCGAGACCCTATCTCAAAGACATTAAAAAAAAAAAAAAAAAAGCAGGTTAATTAAGACAAACTGTTACCATACCGGACTTCTTTGTATGTTGTTCCTCAACAAATTTTTTCTGCTCCTTCTGAAAGTCTCCTATAATGGTCTGTCAAAGAAAATACATAAAGACAAATTACTTTGAAATGTTTACTATATGAATTTTATTGAAGGTTTTTAAAGTCTATTTGAAATACTTTATTCATTTTCTTTCAATAAAAAGGTAAAAGGCCGGGCATGGTGGTACACACCATAGTGTAACCCCAGCATGGGCGGGGGTGGGGGTGGGGTGGCACCCTGAGGTAGGAGGATTGCTGGGCATTCGAGTTCAAGGCCAGCATGGGCTACAAAGTGAGCTCAAGGCCAGCCTGAACTGCACAGGGAGACCCTCTCTCAAAAAGACAAAAAATAAAAATAAAAATAAAATAAAATAAAATGGCTAAAAACTGATATCCTTCCATTACTTAAATAAGAGGGATCCTTCAATATTTTTGAATTGTAAGTATATAACCTCTTTTATGGCACATTCTTTCTTCAAATACAAAAATAAAATGGGTGGAAAGTTAAACTGTTATATTAGTCCATAAAACAATAAAAGACAGACCAAGCCTCATTTCAATAAGAGTACACACAACAAACATATCTAAATAACAATATACCTAAGGCTTATTTAGTGATCTCTTTAGTTCAAATAATTACCAACATCAATGAAATTCCCTAGGCCTGCACTTTATCACTGGAAAAAAATGAGCCAGGGATGGTGCTGCACACTTGTAATCCAAGCTACTCAGAAGGCTGAGGCACGAAGATCACAAGTTCAAGGTCAGCCTAGGCAACTTGGTGAGACCCTGTCTCAAAATAAAAATTTTATATAGGCTAAGGATATAGCTCTGTGGCAGAGCACCTCAGGATTTGATCTCCAAGGACCGGGAATATAGCTCAGCAGCACAGCGCCTGCCTGGCAAGTGTGAGGTTATCAGTTCGAGTCCTGGTACCAAAAAAGAAGGATTTGATCTCCAGTACCACATTAAAAATTTTTTTTTAAAATCAAAATACTATGTTATCCCACTTGTGTTTTAAAATGTTCACAGCTAGGTGTGGTGGCACACGCCTGTTATCCCAGCACTTGGGAGGCTGAGGCAGGAAGATTTCTGTGAGTTTGAGGCCAGCCTGGGGGACACAGTGAGTTCAAGGCCAGTCTGAACTACTTGGTGAGATCCTGTATCAAAATAAATAAATAAATAAATACATATATACATAAAACATTCAAGGGCAGGGATGATTATGTTAGCTGCTAGTGAATTTCATAAATTTCTACTTCCAAAAGATCTTAATATTTAATTTTTTGTAGTCCATGTTTGCAGTATATAATGATCACATTCATCATGGAGAGTTGTTATTTGTACATAACACACCTTAATTCTTTCCTTTCCTCCCCAAAAGATATTTAAATTTACCTTGTCAATGATCTCATCTATTTTTCCTTCTTCTACCGACTTCTTTATCGTCTGTGCTGTTTCAGCAACCGACTCAGTTATCTTTTTGGTGGCGGCACTTGCAAAGTTAAACAGATAGTCTGTGTAGGAGAAAGAGTCTGTGTTTCATTCGGGTGGCGCAGAACCGCGGCAACCCCAGCCCGGCTCTGGGAATCTCCTCTAGGACCTCCTGGGACCTCAGAGTCCACAGACTCACAAGTCCCTGGTAAGAAGTGGGTGGTGTGGCCAGGTGTGGCGGTACACATCTGTAATCCCAGCACTCAGGAGGCTGAGGCAGGAGGATCGTTGTGAGTTTGAGACCAGCCTGGGCTACAAAGTGAGCTCAAGGCCAGACGGAACTGCACAGCGAGACCCTGTCTCAAAAAGACAAAAAAAAAAAAAAGGTGGCGTGTGCGTGTCATTACCCACACCCTCCCTCCCCTGTGCCTCACACCATTTATTTCTACAGCATTTCGGTGCCGAATGCCAGGTGGAAACCCCATGTAAGTGGTCATCATGCTACATAGTCTCAGGATACAGAGGACTGTTTGTGATCTCTTCTCCCTTAAAGAGGTCCTACAGGAAATCTAAGAGGACAGGGTGAGTTCCCTGTGCCCAGGATTTGAGGTGAGAAACGAGGAAAGAGAAGCAGCAGTGGCGCTTTCTGTGCGTCCTAGCAGCTTCCGGGGCCTTGACACCTGTCTCTCCCAGGTCAGAGGGCCAAGCCCCTCCCCTGCTGTTTCTAACTCGGCCTCCTCTCCGCTTTTCACTTATCTCACTAGGTAATCGCCCCTCCTACTTTACAAATAAGAACAAGGCTCCTTTATACTTTCCCTGCTTTCTAGACTCCAGGGAGCCCACCTGTATTTTCTTTGCCTTCCTCCTGTGCAAACAACGACGTCCCTCCCTTCCCAGATTACCCGGCCCTGCCACAGATCTGGGGGAGTTCTGAATTGAGAAGTCTTGGCAAGCCTTCTGAGAAGGATATAGCTTTCGGAACTACTAACGGGCAGATCTGTGGAACAGCACTAAAAATGAGACCCCAACCTTCATCTTCATAAAGCAAACCACAAACTTAGCTTTCTTTTGTTTTAACTAAAAAAAAATATTTAAAAATAATTTTTTGTCTCAGCTTTCTTGAGGCCCTGAGAGATGCCCATGCCCAGCCCTACTCCTGTAGTGTAACTAGAGGCTCAGCAGTAAAGGCCACTGGAAGCCCACACTTGCCGCACCCGGGCTCCAGACAGAGACTCGAGGCAGGTCTGGAGCCGGCTGCGGGGCTCTCCCTGGCAATGCCTGTCTCCCAGGAAACAGCCTCACCTTGGGGACGTTTAGGGAGATCAGTCCCTGTGGCTGGGCACAGAACTCCACTGAGAGCAGCAGTGGAGACTGGCACACCTGCGACATCCTCACTCTGCGTGGCATCGCTGCCAGGGTCGGAATGGGACAACCTGCACTAGCATCGGGATGACCTGCGCTCTCCAACTGTCCACAGCCTTTACCAGGAAACAGCCTATGTGCCAGAGGTGGTGAGGCACACCTATGATCCCAGCACCCTGGGAGGCTGAGACAGTAGGACTGCAAATTCAAGCCCAGCCTGGGCAATTTAGCTCAAAAAAAAAAAAAAAAAGGCAGAGGATATAGCTCAGTATGAAAGCCCTGGGTTCAAATACCAGTTCAGCAGAACAGTCTGTTTTCTCCCCCCGAGTCGGGGAACATTTATTTGTTAATCACATCAGCTGGCCATTAGGACAATACCACAGGAGGCTACCTACCTCTGCTCCTCCGTTACTCCACCTGAGGCCTACAGTGTATGAGCAGATGGAAATTCCTTTAGTGTCTCCCAGAGTGCTGGAAATACAGGTGTGCGGCACCATGCCTGGCTGTTGGAAGTTTTCCTTCCACTTCATGTAAAATTGCATTAAACAGTATTTAAGAGAAATTACTTAGACTTATATCCCACTAAGACAATGCTCATTTGTACTATCATGCTCGGTTTGTGTTTATGTTTTTATTTGTTTTGGTTTTTTCTGACACAAGATCTCACTTATATAGTTCAGGCTGACCTTGCATTCACTATGTAGCCCAAGATCTAACTTCAGCCCCCTCAAATATCAAAATAAAACTTGGTGAGGAAACAAAGAAGGCAGTATTAGCACCAAGGCAGACATTCACATCAAAAACACATTTGTCTGTCTTTTGTGTGGTGCTGAGGATAGAACCCAGGGCTGCAGGCACGCTGCTAAGCAAGTGCTCTAAGCCATACTGGGCCACACTCCCAAGCCACACAAAATCCCGTATTAGCAAACAATTCAGAGGTCTTCATTGCTAAATACAAATGTGAAGTTTCTTATTTTAGGGGGCTTTTCTTCTTGGTTTTTTGAGACAGGGTCTCGCTATGTAGTTCAGGCTGGCCTTGAACTTACTATAGACCCCAGGATGGCCTCGAACTCACAGCGATCCTCTGCCTCAGGCTCCTGAGGGCTGAGATTATAGGTGTGCACCACCACCATGCCTGGCTAACTTCTAAATTTTAAAAAGGCCTTAAAATGTTGGAAATGGCTATCTTCTTTGAAACCAAGTAAACATTTTTAACTTTGCCCCAGTTATTTATCCCAACTAATTAATGCAGTCTCCAGCACCTAGTTTTATTTTTCTTACATAGGATTTGGGAGCCTTGGTCTGTGATTTGAGACTGTTTGTTGTCCGTACCCCTCTACTGACAGTAAGCATCTTGCAGGGTCCTTTCTTACTGAAATATGTGCTTTTCCTCTCTACCCGCTTCCCCATTTAATAGATCCTTAAAGAAAGCTTGCTACATTTAACATCCAGTTCTGCAGTTCTCTCCCTTTTAATGCCATTGGGCTTTAGGGCCCACCTCCTCACACACTTGATTTAAACCCGCTGGGCTTTTCCCAGAATCAGAATTACTATGGTGTGTTTACATTCTTCCTGCCTATGGCCCCCACTAGACTGTAAACTCAAAAAGAGCTTCAAAATTAAGATAGAGCTAGGCTCAAATCCCACTTCTACCACTTATTTTTGCTTTGGCCCAGTAACTCTGGGCTTCTCCCCCTCTTTTTCAGTACTAGCGCTGGAATCTAGGGGCACTCTAGGACTGAGCCACACCCCCCCAGCCCTTTTTATTTTTTACTTTTTTTTGAGGGGGGTACTGGGAATCGAACTCAGCACCTCATGCTTGCCAGGCAGGGGCTGTACCACTGAGCTAAATCTCCAGCCCTTTATTTTTTACTTTGATCAAGACAGGGACACGCTAAATTGCTCAAGTGGAACTCAAACTTGCCAGCCCCCTGCTGCGGCCTTGCTCAGGGCTAGGATTACAGGCGGAGCCACCGTGCCTGGTTCTCACTGGGGGTGTGTAACAGGCGAGTTCCTAGGACATCTACTGCTCTGACCTGCACAGAGCAGGCAACCGCTGCTCTTTTCCCACCTTAAGAAGAAAAGTCCCACTGCACCTAAAAAGACAAGACTGAGGGTTTGGTGACTGTCAGCTTACTTGCGGTAACACTGCCCTAAGGGCAAAAGGGCACTTTTTCTAGCAACTCCAGCTCATCAAGGATTGCAGAAGGGGGGTGGGTAAAGGTGAAAAACGGCGGCTGAACCAAACAGATTCCTGGTTAAACACGGAGAAGCCGGATCAGGCCGCTTTACTGCAGCCCTGCTTCCAATGTGTACCAACTTTGCAGAGTGGTATGTCAGCCGGGTTTAGTGGCGCACCCCTGTAATCCCAGCAGTCCTGTAATCCCAGCATTAGGGAGGTTGAGGCAGGGTCGTTGACAGCGCGAGGCCAGCCTGGGCTGCACAGCGAGACCCTCTCAAACAGACAAACAAACAACAAACAGTAAAACAGAAAACAAAATGGTACGCCACCAGGAACTTCAAAAGGACAGGACCTGACTGCTAGACGACACGCCCTCCTCCCCTGTCCCCCACCCCCGGGAGCCAGGCGGCCGCCCCCCAGGCGAGCCGCCCATCATGGGCTCCGAGTCGGCGGCCTGTCACACTCACTGCCGAGGCCTCTGGCCTGGTGGAGGAGCTCCGGGTCCTCCGGCTGCTGCCCCTCCGTGGGCTGCGCCGCCGTCTCGGAGCGCTGCTCGGGCGGAGCGTCCTCCGCAGGCGTGTCGCCGTCAGCCTCTTCAGACTGAAGGCCAAGCCACGTACTTAACCCTCGGAACATCCCGCCCGCGGGGCCGCCGCCGCGGTCCCGCTCCCCGAAACCCCCACAAGTGCTGCCTATAGGACCGCGGACTCCGCTGCGCCTCACAGGAAGATGGCCGGAAACCGAACGGTTTGCCCGGCTGACGTAGGGTCGCGCATTGTGAGCCAGCCCGTTTGTACGTCACTTCCGGCAAAAGTCCCGCCCCCTGCTCGCGTCGCGTGTGACGAAGGAGTTGTGGGTTTGAAATGGGGACAAAGGGCTTTCCCTGCGTAGCCCCGCCCCGCCCCGCCCCGCCCCTTTCTCCTTTCCCAGGCTTTGTCGGTGACTGATCTGAGCATGCGCATGCCGGGTTTGTTGCAGCATTGCCTACTCTCTGTTTTGTTACTGTTTTTTTTCACATTCAAATTTAAATTTTTTATTTGTCATTTTTTTATTTGGGGGGATTTTTTTATTTTTTGAGGATCACAACAGACTTTACTATTCACAAAGCATTGCTGATTTTCAAAGTATTTCAACATTTTTATGGCACTTTATGGTTTTTGGGTTTTTTTAAATTTTATTTTATTTTACT